CAGAGACAGTTCTCTGTGTCTCATTTCAAATGTCAATCCACCATAAAAAAGTCCAGTTGCCTTTAAATAATCACCTTTGAGACAGTTATGACCTGGATGGCTGAGAATCTCTACAGACAGATCCAATTTATTTGCCTTTGCAGGCTAGTTGAGGTGAAGAAGAGGGTTGTCCTATCCCTTTGGAACCAGTCATCATTCATTCACTAAGACTGTATGATAAGGGAATCCTGTGCTTTTGACTATTGCCTTTAAAGGCATGTACCAGTATTCTGTTTTAAATTTCCAGATTACAGAGACAACTAAACCAGTGTCTTTGTACAGTAATTCATGATGGAACAGAGCTCCATCATGTTAATATGATTTCAAGAGTTGAAATACGTTCATTGGACCATTACTTACACATTACTTTATTATCCAATATTTTAGTAAGAATATGCTAAATTATCTTAAGGTTTTATTGTTTGCAAACATTTCCTTCTAAAGGTAAGACTACAAAGAATAAACACTTTCATTAGTTATTCCTCTGCCTATTTCTAACCAAAAGAGTAAATACAATATACACATGTACCATTTTACGAAAAAAAGCCACAGTCTTTATTCCAACTTCTGATGTACAAAAATATATTTTATTAAAATCACTGAAAGTTAAGGCCACAACAAATCAATAAGACTGTATTTCCCATTTTTTGCAATGGTAAAATTATGAATACAAATAAATATTGGAAGTTGGTCCAAGTTAATGTAGATCAGTCCCCAAATGCTAAATTTTACAAAAAAAATGTAATCATTACATAGATGCCATTATTTCCATGTATAAACTGCAATATCTGCTTGTAAGACCTCACATATATACAAGCCTTATACTTTCATTACTATAGAATTATACATGTAGAGGAGGACTTTCTGTTTTGATATATTGATGGTGATCCCCTTTGATTTTTCTGAGTATGGTTCTGGTTTTCATCTTTACTTGTTTCAGCAGATACACTGGCTTGATTTCCTGTATCCTGTTCACTTTGAGGTAGGTTTTCCAATTTTCTTTCATCCCAACTATGTGCATTTTTCTGCTTCATAGACCTTCTTTTAAAAAAAGAAAACTAAAACACAAAAAGAAATCAACAAAGCATATAATAATAAACAATCCTGAACAAATGAATAACATAAACACTATATAAAATAGTTAAAAAGGCAGCCTGAAGACTTTATCCATATTATTTTGAAATAGTATGAATTAAGAATATATCATATCTGCAAATTGGATCATATATTCTAAAGAACATTCCATTGAATTCCAAGGATTTATTTCCAAATAAACTTGCACTATATTTCAGATTTTACCCATTTAACTACTAAAGCCAGCAGATGTAGGATAAATGACTAAAGTTCCCAATGAATTATTATAACAAACTGTTATGCAACCACATTATAATTGGTAACATATTTTGTTTACAACATTCAAATAGAGTGCAAAGTATTTTGCTAACATAAACAGAATTATGTCACAGCAGCTTACTTTGCTTTCATTTTGCTTTTTCTTGTAGCTCTTTCAACTCTTAAATTATTAATTGTTTTCTAATTTGGTTAAATTCTTAATTTCCTTCCATTCAAAATGCCCAAGTTAGGAAATAATTTGGCTATGGAAATCTTGAACACTTTGTAAAAGTTTGTGAAATGCCCAAGTATCTTAGAAATTCATATGATATAACCAGGTCATATTGTTCATTTATTTTTTTTCAAACATGCATGAACACAGCATACATTTGTCATATTGTATTATGGAAACTGCATATTTCAATGTCAATGTATTTATTGGATAATCAGAACATTATAAAAAAAAACTAGGGTAAAATATTTGGGTAAAATTAACCTTTATGCTTCTGCTGATGGAAGCAAAAATCAGAGGAGAACATTCTAACTTAAATATATAGCTCTTCCAACCCGTGCAATTTAAAATAAATAGTATTGCAAAAGTAGCACAGTAATTTTTCTTTGCTTCCCTATTATGCCAAAGAGGGTCTAGATCAGGAGTGTCAAACTCAAGGCCCGCAGACCAGATCTGGCCCATGGGATGCTTAGGTATGGCCCGTGAACCGTCCTGGAAACAGTGGACTGGCCCATGGTGCCACTGCCAGCAAAATGGAGCTTGGAGGCGTGCGTGCTATGAGCTATTTTCGCTGGCAGAGGGAAGCAGGCTGCGCGTGGCTCACCTGAGCTCTGTTTTTGCTGGCAGAGGGTGGCAGGAGGCCATCGTGGCTAAAAATGGAGTTTGTGAGCCTGTTTTCACTGGCAGAGCACTTGGGCCACCACAGATGCCCCCGACATGAGGGACGTCAAAGTGGTCATGCCCACCCTGGCCATGCCTATCCTGGCTCCCCAAGGTCAAACACAACCCTGATGCGGCCCTCAATGAAATTGAGTTTGACACCCCTGGTTTAGATGATTCAATCTTGAATTTTCTTCTTATGCTTTCCTGTTTTCTCAGGATAAAATCATGTTTTATTAATCACTGATAGCTATTTTCTTTAAGGCCATTGCTGTATTCGTTTATAGATCTCATGTATCTACTTGAATGTACATTAGCTTCTTCATCACTTAGGACCCTACATTATCAGGGTCCTCACACAGAAGTCATTTGGTTTCATTTTTGCAGGCATTTCAGTTGAAACTCTAAGAAGTAGCAGTTAACATAGTGATGCTAATGAAGTGACAGTGCTGGACCTAATTGGAGCATTCTAGGTCCTATAGTTAACACCTTAAATGGATTTTATTTCTGCATTACCTGAAATGATTCTAGGTTCATTAAAAATAGCAAGGAGAGTAACCAACCATATTTAAGAACACTGTGCTCAAATACAAATGAGCATACTAAACAATTAGCAAAAATCTACTGAAATTAATATAAATCTAGATCATAACCCCAAAAGCATTTAATTATATGAAAAATATAAATGAAATGGGACACGTAGGCCATTATACTGCTCTAGATATGCATGTCAAATATGGAATATTTTTTCTTTTTGATATTGTTGCAAATGATATTTTAGTTTTACCCTTTTTGCTTTATCTAGCAGTCTTCCAGATGTTCTGTCTTGATTGTCTGTAGTTGCTTGAGAAAAATTATTCTCTGTATGAATCTCAGCATTTTCACATGCTAAAAATAATACAATAAATCAGCCACCATTTTAAAATATGTTCAAGTTGCTTCAGTCACAATTTTCAAATGGTGAACTATTTAGCTAATTAGGTATTTAGTAAAGCCCAAATTGTATATCCAAGCTCAAGAATTTTTATTTTATTTAACAGATTTTAGTTTATTAGTTTTGATTTGCTTTTCACTTGGACATCTTATTATGTCCATTATATTATATATATATATATATATATTATGTATATTAGTATAATGTATAATTAGCTTATGGCCAAGGAGTTTTATATGGGTTTTATATTGAGCAGGCATGTCAAATATTTGCTTAAAAGCTTAGAAGCAACAGATGACAGGGAATACCTACAAAAAAGGAAGAATACTGTGCTATCCAGCCAGTGTCTGGGAAATGGATAGTTAGGTAGCAATTGTGAGCTATCCCCTTAAGGGAATGCATCATGGTAAATGTAGTTAAGGTATCCTGGGAAATTTAGTCCATATCACGTGACCACATCTGTAATCCTGATTGGTCACTAAATTGACCCTCGATGGGTTGGAGGAGGTTTCCTCACTCTTGGCTGAACTCACAGACTCGTGGTAACTGTTCTATTTCTACCGCTACGAGATGAGAGAAAAAGGATAGCAGATAATCATCTTTTTACCTACAAGACAGATATGCAAAGGATTGGTCATTAAAGAAGAATTTCGTCACAAATGTGAGTTATGAGGATACCTGATGAACCAATAAAAGTACTTTGTTATGGATGTTTTGTGGAGTTTATCTATCTGCATCTGTACAGAAGACAAATCTACCACTGTACAGAATACAGAACAGTAAAAAGTTGGTTAATTTGAAGTCCTGAAGCCCATCAGTATAAAGACAGTTAATTTGGATTTGTGATAAAGCAAAGTAATATTGAAGCCAGGAGTGAATATGCAATGTTAATCTAAGCCTGCATTTTCTCATTCTCTCTCTCTCTCTCTCTCTCAGCAACGGAACCCTTTACATGCTGTTTGGATGGTGGGAGGGGCTGGAATTCCCCTACATGCTAGAAACAAAGAGAACTCTTTCTGAACCGCAGAGTTGAAAACCAGTAACTCGCCCCCCCCTTCTCTGCTCAATTTGTCTTCCTGCTATCACAAAGACTCAATTTGTATGACAAGGAGAGCCAGAAACCAAACTTTGTCTTAAAACCCTTTACAAACGCAGTAGGAAAGTTTGAGAAATCTTGTTTGTATTCTTAAATGGAAACAAAAGCTGATTCTGCTCTGCTCATCTGGATGGGAGACAAAGCCATAAAATAGACCCTCTCCAGCCAATTTACAACCTGATAAAGACACATCGTAGTTGCAGGAAGGGGCAAATTCACCCCCCTTTTCTCTTCAGTGAAAGAAGTGCTGTGTCTCAAATTACAACTCCTAACTCAGAAAGAACCAATTTGTGAAACAAAGGGAGGGGCCAAGTATCTCTCATCCATCCCTGTATTCATCCAATTACAAACCCTTTCCAAACACAATGAGAAAGTTTCAGAAATCTTGCTGGCATTTCTAGAAAGGAAAACTAACTTTGCCCTGCTCATTCCAGCTGAAAGACTTTGCATTTTTCCAGCTCAGAGGCAATAAGAGAAGCCTCTCCAGCTATTTTTACAACTACTCTGGCCATTTTATTGGGGATCATAATTCATTACTGACAGACCATCTTCAAAGCAAAGAAGCCCATTTCCCCCATCCCAAGACACAAGGCTAATCCAAGCAATGTTTTAAAAAGGAACAATTTCTCTTTCTGCTCAAAACATTTAAATTTCTTCATGTTCCCCTATCTTTATTAAACAATAAAAAAAAACATATAACACTGCAAGCAAACCTTTGGAGTGTTGTATTCAATTGATTGGTTTTTCTTCCAGCAAGAAAACAATAAATTCCTCTGGGGTTCACCCCCCCCCACAGACTCAAGCAAAGCAGCCCACAGCACCATCTGGTGGTCAAGGAGAAATTTCGCAGAGTTTTCCAATACGTACTTGCAATGATAATCCCTTTTTGCAACTATTGTGGACAATTTAATCAATTTAATTCAAGGTTCCAAGATTAGCTGCAACCTAACATAGGCGTTGCAACAGCGTCTTCCAGGCATATTTCTGCGTTTAGCCTCCAAGTCTTCAGACTCGCTACACATATTTCTGCGTTTAGCCCTCAAGTCTTCTGACTTCGCTACACAACCTCTACTGCCATCTTGTGGAGCAAGCGACACTAACAGGCATATTTCTGCGTTTAGCCCTCAAGTCATCAGACTTCGCTATGCATACTTCTGCATTTAGCCCTCAAGTCTTCTGACTTTGCTATGCAACCTCTACTGCCACCTTGTGGAGCAAGCAACACTAACAGGCATATTTCTGTGTTTAGCCCTCAAGTCTTCAGACTTCGCTACGCAACCTCTAGTGCCCCCTTGTATAGCCTACGTGAATGAGCAGCACTTGTTACAAAACAAGCAGATGGAACCGCCTCAGTTGCCTAGCAGTCTCCTACAACCAGGGAAGCACAGGGATGAATCTCACCCACAGACTCTACATGTCATTTACGCAACTGATGTACGACCTAAAGTACGAGATTCACTTCCCACCAACAGCAAATCTTCCCCAACTGATGTTGTATGTACTAAGGTCCGAGATTCTCTTCCCAGCACCAGCAACCCTACTCCAACGTCTCATGGCCTGCCAGGTGAGCAAATTAGCCCACCAGTAATCATGACGACTTCTCCACAAGTAGACATGCCACCAATGACACTTGCCACACTCAATCCACAAGCAGTACCATTCCAGCCACAACCTCCACACTACCCGAACTCACAGGAACAAGATAACCATGGCCAGCCTACACAGCAGCGTGAAGCTCCACCATCGCCTCTGGAATGGCAGAACGATATCCTCCGTAAGCACTGGGAGGAAGGCTACAACCCATCGTTGACATACAACTCGAACCTACCCTACAAGAATCCAAGGGAAGACCCCTCTATGTCAATGTCTCAACGCAACTCTACAGACGATGCTGACTACTGGAGAGTGTGGGCAGTAAGCAGAGGAAAGCTAGATTTGGCTGCTAACGGTGTATACAAATTCTCTAACAAGCCAGGCGGCGAATATCTCCTATGGAAGAAAGTTTTCCTGCACCCCATTCAGGCTGCACGCCTGAAATCCGATGAAGTACTTGTACACTTGATGGCGTGGCTAGGGCCACAGTCTGCCAGAGATACAAAGGCACTTTATGCCTCCCACATAGACAACCCAGACGCTGCCCTACGGTTGTCATGGCAAAGACTCGACAATCTATACGGTGCTGCCTCAGATGTACAATGCTCCTGGATAGCCTACACAGATTTCCTAAAATTCCTATCGGCAAGCCTCACCTGATCATGGAACTCTCTAATATACTCATACAACTGAAAGCGGCACAACGGGATCCCAAGTTACCGGGACTTGCTTGTCTTGACCAAGGCGACATGCAAAACAAGATCGTTCGAAAACTCCCGCAGGTGCTAATTGAACAATGGCTCCAGATGTCCGATGCCTCCATGGCCAAGGGTCGCCACAACTTTATACCCTTTACCATTCTCAAAGAATTTCTGGCCCACCAGGCAATAGTGTGCAACTCCTCCTGGGCCCACGCACTCAGAGCTGTTAGTCCTCCCAATGAAAAATGATACAACAGCGACCATACACAGGCCCTATGCACACTGCAAAGGAAAGTCCCTTCATGGCTGTCCATAAGACAGAGGCACACTCCTCAGCTAACTCATCCCATCCAACCCAATTTAGATCTCCTACTCCAAAGAGAAACCAGTTTTGTCCTATGCACTACACTTGTCACTTGCTGAACAGGTGCACTGGGTTTGCAGCGAAATCACTGACCCAACAAAAGGAGTTGATAAGGGAGTACCAATACTGCTACAAGTGTTGCAAATCCAGACACCCGTCCAAGTACTGCACAGCCAAGGTGCATTGCTACTTATGCAATAGTAACCAGCACCGACCGCACTTCATCCAGCCGCCGATCCACCACTGCAGACATCTCATAGCCCTCCTTTGAACAAGGAGCCTCAACGTGCTACAGAAGCACACCCAGAGTCAGTGGTGAGTGTCAATTGCACAAAAGTGTGCAATGGCACACCAGCCCCTCACGCATGCCGTCAGATCTGCTTAGCCAAAGTCTACCCAGATGGACACCCAGAAGAAGCAGTGAAGATGTATGTAATACTGGACCCTCAGAGCGATCGCTCACTAGCCGAGTCCGAATTCTTCGACCTCTTTGATGTTCAGAAAGAGGAAGTGCACTTCAAGATATTGACGTGCACCACACCGAGATGCACAGTGGGGAGAGAAGCTACTGGACTCTGTATAGAGTCATTAGATGGAAGTTCCCAGTTTCTACTGCCGTCTGTGCTGGAATGGAACGGGATACCAGATGACCGCAGCCACATTGCAACACCAGAGGTAGCTAGCAGCATACCTCACCTGAAAAATATGGCTCATCTGTTTCCCGCCCTTGATCCTGAAGCCAAGATTTTGCTCTTGCTGGGATTCGATGTCCCTGATGCCTTAGCGCAAAATGAAGTAGTCAGAGGCCCGAGATACTCATCCTTTGCCTTCAAGACAGACCTGGGTTGGGGAATCTCAGGAATTGTCAGTGTCGATCGGGTGCAGGCCTCAACCCAGGCAAATGCCTTAGCACCATCCATTCCAACAGCCTTCCAACGCCCTTTAGCACCATCAAAAACAAGAATGACGTTCCAGACTAAAAGGCCGCTGGGGATCAGTATACTTTCGCTAGAACACCCTAAACAGCCACCAGCAACCACCAGACATCCACTAAGACGCTTTACACGGGCATATGCCTCTGCAACACCCTTTCCAACAGCTTCCCAATGCCCTTCGACACC